CATTATAGAGGCTTTATTGTATACTGTATAAAAGTTTAATGCTATATCAGATATTAAAGAACTTATAATTATTATATTCGAACCCGAACATGTTCATGAACTTCGAACTGAACTCGGACTGAACTTTTACTAAGTTCGGGTTTGGTCCGAGTTCAGAAATTGGAGGTTCGTATTCAGTTCGAGTTCAAAAAGCCAGCAAAATTCTTGGTTCAGGTTCAGGTTCGGGTCCAAGTTCTTTCGAACTCAGACCAAACCCAGACTGAACCTTGAAACACTATAAATACTATACTAAAATTATATAAATACTATATCAAAACTATGCTAAACTATGATAAGTACTATATTTCTTACTATAATAAACTATTAATAAATATTATTTATCTGTTACTTATACAAACACTTAAATAGCACTTGTATAAACACTTATATAATGTTTTACTAATACTTATACAACACTTGTTAAAAATTATAAATACAAATAGTTTTTCATCTTTTGTCTTTTAGTTGTTTAAATCTCAACCTTTCTTCTCTTCTCCTGTACCTAACTCTTAATATATTTTAACTCACCTTCAATATACTAACAAAAAAAATTTTTTACTTAATTTTACATCTATTTTAATATTTAGATAAGATCCTAAGACTTATTCTAACTCTAAAATATATGAATTAATTTTTTTTTTTTTTGACTTATCGTTATTGATTTATACACAAAATTCTGATAATAATCGCCAGTAGCGATAAATAGTAATTTTCTAAAATTAAAGCAAGAAAAAAATATTTATATACAAAATTTAACAAAGAATTTTTTTATTAACACTCAAAAAACAATTTTATAAATAAAATTTTTAAATATTGATAATTTTTTAAAAAATTCATTATTTTTATACTTTAAACATTACACCCAATCCTGCAATTTATTGGCTAATTGCATACCAGTAATAATCACCTGTAATAATATTTAACAATACTTAAACTTTTATTATATATACAAGTGTATTTTTTAAAACTATATAAACTCAAATTTTATCACAATAATTTTAATTAGTATAGGAAAGTACCATGCAGATCATATGAAAAATAATCTACGTATACTCTACCCTTAACGGTTCTCATTTTCTAGTTTACGATAAAATTCGTTAAAATCAAGGCGAACACTAAGAAATCTCAAATCTGTGTCATGATGATTAGCCAAAGCAATTAATAAATTAACTACTTCGTGCTACAAATAAGATAGGTATAGGTAACGTTATAATTCTGAAATATCGGTAAACAAATTAGAAAATGAACAATTACTTTAAAAAGACTAGCAACTTCAGTCAAATTCTCTTGAATTGTTCTTAAACTTTCCAATGCGCTTTGACTTCGTGATTTGCCAACGCCTTCAGCCATATTTCCTAAAATACCCTATAAAATAATAAGGTTGTTTAAAATTATTTTAGATATTAAAAAGAATATACTTTTAAAGTCGAATGCTCTATTATACTTGATGTTGCCCAGATTCATTGTCCCTGCGTAAAATTTCTTTCAAACTGAAATTGTGTAATTCATCCTATTTGAGTAATCATATTAAGTGATTAGATATAGAAAAAAATTAAATAAAAAAAAAAAACTTTACCAAACCATTCTTGTATTTCAATATAAATTGAATGATATTCAATAACCTGGATAAGTAATTCTTAAAAAAAAAAAAAAAAAAAAAATTCTTTAATTGTGCTTTTTTTTTTTTTGTCAAAAATCAATTTTTCCAAGTAAAATAATAATTGACAGGCTACTTGATTATTTGAAGTACCCAAAAAAACTTTCGTAGTGACGTTTGTTAAATATTTATTATGAGCTTCAATAAGTGAATCCAAGTCTCCTGACTTTGTATTTATGTCAGTAACAAGTTCATCCCATGAACATTCGATGACCTAAATAATTATATTCCGACACAAATAAATTTCATTTCTCAATACTAAAATCAATAAACGATTATTCAATACCTCAAACAATATGTAATACTGCAACTGACACAAAAAGTGTATCATTTCACTACAAATTAATCTACTTGCATTAACATCTTTCTTCAACTCTAGTAATGATAATTGCTATTAACAAAACGTAATTATAAAAGAAACATAAAGTTTATCTCATTCAAACCTTCGATTTGATACAAGCTTCTCGCGTTAGTCATGTTACGACGCCAAGCAGATGATAAATCATGTTCAACTCGTTTTAAACGCCATAAGAAATTGAATAATTGGAGATATTGTTGCATTGCATGTGGAGTAAAAATTGTATTTATAGGTGAATCAACATGATAATCCAAACTGAATACATCCCAACCAGCTTCTCCGGAAGACGACTGTGAAAAGAAAATTGTGATTAAAAAAAAGCTTCTTATGACCGGATAATCCAAACGATTATACAAAACGTTTATACCTCAAGAAGTCTAACATCTAATCGACGAAGAATGTCAGGATCGTCATATTGTGCATTAGATGCGCGAATAGCAGCCTCCAAAGTACCAGTAAGATTATGACGAAAAAGCGTATTTGCAAGTTTTGAAAGGCCTGGTCTAATTATTTAAAATAAATATTAAGCTATTAAGAAATATATACATATATATATTAAAGAAAGACACATATATAAAAACTTACCCAAGTTGGGCCATTAAATGTTGTATGAAATCACCTTGACCAAGTAACAAATAGCGTTTCAAGGCAGTAAGGTGTTCTTTAAGTTTATATTTCGTGAATAAAATATTTAGAAGTCTCTGGCTTGTGGCGGTATAAGTTGCATCTATAGAACTCTCTAGTGCTATAATATCACCATATTTTAACACTGTGAAGATAAAAAATAGTATTAGAAATAGTAATTGGGTAAAATTTAAGACCTTTCTAAATTTTTCAATACTTACCCTTATCTGCTCCTGCATTTGTTACTACCCAATCATTATCATGACAACTATATCGAATGAAGTTGAGTGATTTTCCTATAGCAAATATCTACCCAAAAAAGACAAATGTCAATTACAAAGTCAGTTTTTTCTGACCATAATTAATAGTGAAAATACTACAAACTTTCTTGGCAAGTAAAGAACTAATGAAAGTTGGTTGCATGTCTGGACGAATGGTATATTTTGACTGCCACAGATCTTCTTCTTCAACATTTGGATCACAAGCAACAAAAAATTCTTCAAAAGGGTCTTCCAGTTCACCACCATAAACCCAGCGTTGAAGCATTTCAAAGAACGGTCTAGAGACCTATGGGATACAATATATTAATACTTTTGATTATATTACTAAGTGATTTCAACATACTTTAACATTAAACTACCTCTTCAAGCATATTATTAATAAACTGTTGAATAAATGGATCACCATGGTTTGTATAATTATAGATCGTTGATACGAGGGCCCCACCCCGTGCTTGTTTACAACAATCCACCAACACAGACATCATCCGTAATTTTAACAAGGACTCTTGAGTCCACACTAATAAGCGTTTCAAAGAAAGTCCATTAGATTCAGATTGCTGGCTATTAGCCACCTTGTTAACTTGTGCTTCGAGAACAGCAATGAATCTATAAT